CTGCTCGGTCAGAGACGTTAGGCTGAGCGATTGAAACATGCAGATCGAGGCGTCCAGGGCGGAGTAGAGCAGGATCAAGTGAGTCGATGCGATTTGTCGCGCCGAGGATTAGCTGCGCATTATTTTGCTTAGCGGGTCATGACGTTTGGAAGAGTTTCCGACACTGCCACTAGCCACACCCTTGTTGTTGCCGCGAGCGTCGTCAAGCTCGCTGAGGAGTGTTGCAACAAGGCGGGCATGAATCGTTGAGCCATTCGCACAACTAGCATTCACTCGTGTGCCACCAATTGCATCGATCTCGTCGAGGTAGAGCACGCATGGGGCAATTTCACGCGCGGTGACAAACAGTCTACGTATAATCGCCTCTGATTCGCCAAGGAACGGTCGCAAGAGGTCAGTAGAGCTAACCTGAACAAATTTAGCTTCAACTTTAAGTGCAACTGAGCGTGCTAACAGTGTCTTGCCATTCCCGGGTGGCCCGTGGAGGACAATGCCGCAAGGAGAGGCTATTTTGAATCGTTCAAATCTAGTTGCATGTTCCTGTGGCCAAATTAAAGCTCTTTCTACTTCGCGTTTTGCAGATTCACAGCCCCCTACGCCATTCCAGGTCGGCCGCAGCATCCCTGTTCGCCCCAGTACGGCATGATGTGTATCTCGTATACCTGTTTCGATGCCTTGCCTGTCCAGTCTGTATGGTGTTATCGAAGTGGCATTGCACATGTCACTCCAACATAAGCTGATAGACATGTCCTCATGAGCACGCACAGCTGCGACAAGAATGGCTGCATCAATTATAGTGGCAATATAGCCACTGATGTGCCCCATCGGCCAGCGTGCTAGGCCAGATGAAAGGATTTGCGAGGTAAAGCCCGTCATCAAGGGGATCCCAGCCAATTGTGTTGTGCAGATGGTGGTCCGAAAAGCATGATCAGCAATCGGGACCCGCAATATGGATTCATACCGAGAGACAAGACAGTAAGGGCAGGCAGCTCGTTGCTGTGAGTTCGGTGAAACAACGGCTTCCTCCAGCGGCTCGTCAGACACGATTATCACCCCAGCAAGTTTTCGGTGACTTACTCTCCGCTCGAAGCAATTAATTTGGTTTGAAACCTGCAGTGCTGCACCGCTACGTTGCGCAACCCCATGCAACTTTCCTTGCAGATTTCCATGTCGCAAGGCTCGCATTACACAACCAAAATTCTCGATGATCACCATACCATTTGTCTCTGCTGCCGCTAGCATTGCGCCGTGTAAAGAGGGAGAAGGTATCATCTGTATGTCATCAACTTTCTGCCTGACCCCACAATGGATGATACGCCCCCCGCCCCCTCCCAGAGAAGCTTCATCAATGGCAAGCTCGGCATCACAGGAGGTGACGGTTATGCCTGTGCCCCGAAGCTGCAGTATGGCTTCACGAATAATATAGGTCTTTCCCGCACCACCAATACCTCCGAGAAAAAGGGCTGGGGTGGTGTTGAACAAGGTCCCTGTGCCCAGTGTGTCCATCTTTGTGCCCAGAAACGACAAAACGGCACTTAAATCCACCAGCTCTTCTAATAGTCTCACCCTAGGGCAAGAGTTAACAAGAAGTGAGGAATCGCAGTCCGATGTTGATGTTTGCCGCTCAATCGCGGTTGCCCCCACAGACAAGTGAAAACCGTGGCGAATATTAACATGATTGCCTTCCATTCGCTTCCTGACGGCGAGAAATACGTGGAGATCACCAGCTATTGTCACTGCAATAGAATCTCCTATATGCGACGCATATAGAAGGGTACACAACATAATAATTACCTCGGCAGATTGTACTAAAATAAGATGCAAATTGACTTTGCTTTTGGATCACTGCTGCCATGTGAGCACTAATCTTCATGTTAGCTCCCGTAGACATGACTGGGCTCGGCGCTTCCATCCAAGACCGCAGTTCAACAAATTCAAGAGTCCCGGGGTCATCAAAGGGGGCAGCGACGTGCACGCACAGTGTTTCGCCAGTCATCACTTTTAAATGCCTTAAAACCTACATGACACATGTTTCTCAAGTCATGACTCATCAGACAAGGTGGCGGGCCCAATCGTGGACCTCCAGTACATCCTGGGGCATTGCTTCATCGAGCGATATGCAATTGGTTGCTGTTGTGCCTCGGAAACAAATTTGGACCGTGGCAAATGGTTGGACTCCCAGCTGCGCAAGTGTGCCAGGATTTACCTTCACCGCGTGTGTTGGCAGCTTTAATGGGCCTATGCATTATGTAGATCAATCACTCATCCTCGACCCTCGATTGCATACCTATAGGTGGGCCACGAAAAATACGGAGCTTCATAGTGAATGGCAGAGTCTATCGGAAAGCGCGGAGAACATGGTAGTCAAAACTTGCACCAGCGCGCTACGCTTACAATACTTGTACATCCCAGGGAAATTACGATGTTGGAACCAATTATCCTGATAGGCCGCAAGTTATTTTTTTTAATCGTTTGCTCGCGCTCATGGCCCTACAGCGCCGCGAGAATGCGAAACTGTGCAACGACCCCAGTGACTTCGAGGTCCGCATGAACGAGGGTGAGGCACATGCGAAGACGCGACGCTCATACGACCTCGAGAGAGACGCGCTGCACCCTCACGACCGCTCTAAGATAGTTTTCGAGCCATCGCAGCAGAAGCGATGTCGTCTGGGATCTCCAGATGGCCCCTAAGAGCCTCCGGGTTGACACGGGCGTGGTGCGCGGGCGACCAACGCGCGTAAGACGTTTTATTTGGCTGGATGATGATAGGTAATGAAATGCAATAGTTACCGGAAACACATTGTACTGCCGTAAATGCAATTTTCTCTAGTTAGAGGAATATGCGAGTATCCCTAGTAACGCCGGGGCCCCTCCCCCTTGTACTTTATTACTCTGCCGTTTATGCGAAGGGCAATTACGGGGCTGCACCTAAAAAGGGAATTTAAGTTCCTCGTTGTCAGTATAGTGAACTTAAAAAAGGGATCTATCTGAGTAGAGTACTGAGGTAAATACGGCGGATAATTGCGCCGCATTGTCGGCTTCAAGGTAAACTAAAGGTAGATATTGAAGGCGGAAATCCCGCCACAGGAAGGCTTTGAGGGTGCAGCAGTTGCCACAAGAAACGCAGCTGTATACTTTCCAAGTGGATTTACCCCTACCCACTCCCAAGGCGCAAATTGCGGGATTCAGCTTGCTGCCATGGGCCACGGAGATCGCCTTGGGTCGCTTGGGGTCACCGCTGGGTCCGGCCCCATTTGGGGCCCGTGGCAACAAGCCAACTAGTCACAGCCGGCTCGCATTTTGCCATTCTCGAGAAGATATACTTCATCACTTCCAATAGGCGCCGCCATCACGAGATTTTTGGAGTCACCAAAGGCCCCACGGCGTCTCCTGCGTGTGTAGCCCATCGCGTTTTGCTTGGACAGGGCAAGGGAAACAGATGCAGGTCGATCTATTGTATCGACACATGTTTGTCATAGGGAGACTGAAACGGTGAGTGCATAGAGTGCGTATCACTTTCTCCGTTTGAGCTTGGAATCCCCTGCACATTGGGATGTAGATGTTGCTCGAGGTTCATCCGGCCATTCAAGGTTGCAAGCGCAAGCTTGGTATTGGCAGCGATGAAAATTGCTATAATCGCAAAGGAAGCTGCAGCGCTTGCGAGGAGACCAAACGTGAGAGCTCTCTTTTCAGCATTCTGAAGTGAGTCCAAGAGGGACCGCACCGACGAATTTGTGCAAAACTCACGCATGGACGCTATTGCTTGCGATGGGTGTTTAACATATTTATTGTGACAACTCGCAGAATCGTTAGTCTCAGTATCAACCTCCCTTATAGTCGTACACAAAGGACAGGGCTTGCAGACAGGCGTCTTCGGCTTCATGTCCGCCGCCTTCAATGTAGACGCTTGGAGTTCTGCCTCAAAATCAGTAAGCGAGAGTTCTCGCACGACAATCTCACGCTCTGCAATCGCAACATTGCCAGCGGCATCAGCAACGGAGTAAGGAACGGCAAAAAAGTACTCTAAACTACCTGCACTCGTGATTCTTGTACGCTTTTGCCGTGGCAGACCAAGGATAATTGATTCTGGGGGTAAAACAATACTCTGGCCCGATACAGCATCAAAGTCGGTCGCTGTTGCACAGCGCCCGGCATCCGGACGATCACAGAGAGCCTCCGGTGAGGATCTGATTAGTTCTGCAATTTCATCAGAAATGTCCCGAAACACATCTGGCACATGCATCGTGGAGCTAGCAATCAACGCTGGGAGCCGTTCACGTCGGCAGCGCTCAATTCTGATTTCAATTGGATTTTGCCCCCATAGTGTGAGCGAAGGATTTTCTATATCAAGGCATCCGGAAGCATTTACATATCCCCGGGGCTTGCGCCAGCCTCCGGAATCCCAGTAACTCACCTTGTTTGCAAAGCCGTCGCCGATGGTCCCTCTAGAGCATTTGCACGAGTAACCATCGATGAGATTCACGCATTTTGCTGCATCCACACACTGATGCGCACACGCACCTAAACACGTTGTCTGGCTTCATGATGTGAGGCGGGGCACAGGTTGGCACTCTTACTACTGCACTCATTCAGGTCAACGACTTTCACCACTCGTTTTGCTTCTACAAAGGGAGGATAAGTCCACGGCGTGTCGATGCGGTACGCAACGTTGTAGGTACCGATCTTGAAATAGGGTGTCTTATCGCGAGTACCACCCCCTCGATCACGCGATGGAAAATCGAGAGGCTCGCTGTAATGTATAGACAGAGTGCGCGCATAAGCAGCTGCATTTTCATCAACAATAAGAACACCGAGCTCCTCGTAGGGCGCAGAGCACTGGTCGAACTCTACGACAGCGGGGCCATTTAGTTGTAACACGGGCAGCGTCTCATCGACGCAGCCGACTGATTGATCAATATGCTTGAATCCTTCGTTACAAGCACATCGGACCTCATTGCCGTCATCGATACACTTCGCTCGTTCACCGCAAGCAACGTCTAGACACCGATCTTTGACACTGCGCTGGCACCCACAAGGTAGATTCTCGGGACTTGTTGGTGTGCCCCTGGAGTCGACGAATGCCTCCACCACATTATCTTCTTGAGAGCACCTGCGGCCTGTTCCCACGAACCCTTGTGGGCACCTGCAGCTGTAGACCGCCTCCCATCGTCCAGAGCCACGATCCACAAGATTACGTGCACAGTCCGCCGCGTTTGGAGCGCACACGGACTCACATTGATCAATCTCACATTGAAACGATGCGACACACTCTGCTCTTGTTGCAGTCTTTGTACTACCACTGCAGCAGCTAGAGGTGTTGGGATGACCACCGCAGCGAAATGCTGCTTTCATTGGTGCCTGGGAATGAATTCAGTCCAAGGCTAACAATAATTAAGAACACACACGGAAAACTGGCAAAGCTCCCATGGCTACACACGCACTCATAACCGCCGTCGGTATTCACACACGTCGACGAATCGTCACATGCGTGTCGCCACTCTTGCGACAGACGCTCATCGCACTCATTTGTATCCATAATCCTGATCAACGTTGTGTAACAACGCTTGGCAATCTCACCCACGATCTTTACATCAGCCACAATGTTATAGCTCCCGACAGCATGGTGGACGAAGTCGCCTTCCCATGTTATCATCACATCTTGGACACCTTCCAGCTCTTCATTGATCAATGTCGTGACTGTGCTGACGACCCCACTGATGCCCAGTGGTGCATCGTGCTGCTGGAAACTCAACGTCTTCAGCACGCTGCATTCGCTGGCGTCGGACCTCAGAATAATACCTGCAAGTGCAAAACCCAATTCGAGAACTCCGGACCGAGGCATGACACAAATTGTAATTGACGGTTCAGAGTGGCTCTAGTGGGCCCGCAGTGCTCTGCGCCAGCCTAAGGTGGAGAAAAGATGATTGTCTCATTAATGTTCTCTCGGCAGAATTCTACACCATAGATGTATATGTACAGGTAATCTTCACCGTAGAATTACATATTAAGGAATGATACAAGATATAGAATGATATAGTTGGATTAGGAGCTGGGTGTGCCTTCAACATGGGCTCCACCCAGCTCGGGGACTAGCCTAGTCTAGGACCCCCAGGAAAAGAAGATTTTCCTGGGGTGCGCTCCGGGCGCACAATAATAGAAGAGGATGTCAGCGACAGACGCCGGCCCGGGCTTGTCCGTCTTCACGGGCGTCCCGTCGGCGTCGCCCCGGCCGCGCTTCTTCTGCGGGAATTACCCGGCAATTGCCGGTAATTACCGAGGCCTCCCGGGCATTACCCGGTAATCCGGTCCCCATACATAGCCCCATACCCCTAACAGGCACTACGAAAAACCCAGCAATCTCAATTAATCGAGCTATGGACGATCCCCGCAACTGTATTTTGGCTCGAGGGAGGGTGTGCGTTGGCACGATTTGGGAGAAGGGGGGTGAGATTAAGACTGCCAAGTTTCAGGTTTGAAGACCATGGGGTTGGGCGCGCGCGCCATCGTCTAAAAGGCCATAATGTGTGCGGTGTAGTGAGGGTGCCGCAGTGAGGGGCCGCATTGCCCCCTTTCTTTCTTACTCACCTAACTCCAGCGATTGAGGACAGAGAGCCCCGACCCGATTAGTCTACCTGCTTGAGTAGGTAGTCTACTAAATAATTATTACCGTACCCTAGTCAGGAGTCAGGCTGAGGGTAAAATACCTCCATAGTGGGATTATCGCCGAGGCATGCTGGAACTGCCAACGGGCCCCCGCACGACGGTCGGGCCCCGGGACGGGGGCCGGGGACGGCGGGCACGGGGGTTCCGGCACGGTCACCGGTAAATGCGCTCCCGGCACGCGGCCCGGCACGGGCCCGGCACTCGGCACGGGGCCCCGGGCACGGCCCGGGCACGGGCTGGGGACGTGGCCGGGGACTGCGGCACGCACCGTCGCGCAGGGCCCCCTCTGCCAGCTCGACGTCGTCGCCATTAGCCCCTCCACGCCTCCCTCCCAAGCTAGTGACAAGCAGGAAAGAAAATCATAAAATTTTACGTCCGAGCATCAGTGTGGTAGAGACCTGCGCGTTTAGCCTGCAGGATGGATATAGAAACGATTGATGATTTGGATCCAGAAATCATGACGATGACATCGGATGAGATTCGTCAACGTAAACGCTTGATCGAGAATGACGTTGTGACCTGCGCAAATTTTCGAATAACCCGTCAAAACTCGAATACAGGTTCGAATTATGAAGTCGGAAATACAGCGCATCAAGCACGAATCAGAGGCACAGCGAGAGAGAATAAAGGAAAATCAAGACAAAATCAAGCTCAATAAACAACTCCCATATCTTGTTGGTAACATCATCGAAGTATTGGAGCTTGAATCTGTAGATGGCGAGGAAGATGGGATGGCACAGGATGTAGATTTGAATAGGTGCATCTTGGGGTGTCATTTGATAATTCATGATCAACATCAGGTCAGGAAAGTCGGTGGTGATTCGGACGTCAACTCGTCAGACAATATATTTGCCTGTCCCAGGACTTGTTGATACTAAAGAATTAACACCAGGAGAGTTGGTCGGGACTAATAAGGACTCTTACCTGATTCTAGAAAAGCTCCCCGCCGAATTTGATTCCCGCGTCAAAGTCACACATCATCGCCTACAACATAATGTTTCTTCTCATTTTCCTCGCAACCTAGGCCATGGAGGTGGACGAGAAGCCAACTGAGGAATACTCAGACATTGGTGGCTGTGATAAACAGATAAATGAGTTGATTGAAGCTGTCGTATTGCCGATGACTCATGCAGAGATGTTTTCTGCTATTGGGATCCGTCCCCCCAAAGGCGTACTGCTTCATGGGCCACCCGGAACCGGCAAAACACTCCTAGCCCGTGCGTGTGCCAAACAAACTGACGCAATATTCCTCAAACTTGCCGGACCTCAACTCGTTCAAATGTTCATTGGCGATGGAGCGAAGCTTGTACGTGATGCTTTTGAATTAGCCAAGGAGAAAGTCAATGCAGGCAAGTTGACAGTACATCAGTACCCCTTATCTACCGACTGAAATGTATCAGGTAATAAAAGCGGAGCTATTATCTTCATTGATGAACTTGATGCGATTGGCACAAAGCGTTTTGGAGGTGAACAATCCGGCGATCGTGAAGTCCAGCGCACCATGCTTGAGCTCCTGAGTCAGTTGGACGGTTTCTCCTCTGATGATAAAATCAAGGTATGATCTCCAGTTCAAATTTGTAATTCATTCAGTGTTGAGAGGAGTCAGGTTATTGCGGCGACAAACAGACCAGATGTTCTCGACCCAGCCTTACTACGTTCTGGTCGGCTAGATCGTGAGTATCTGTGTCTTTTGTTCCGTGCCAGCGGGGCTCGATGATGATATCTTGCAGGTAAGATAGAACTGCCTCACCCCACTGAAACAGCTCGTGCTCGTATCATGCAAATCCATTCCCGCAAAATGAATGTCGATAAAGATGACGTAAATTTCGAAGAGCTCGCGCGATGTTGCGACGATTTCAATGGGGCTCAATGCAAGGCTGTTTGCGTTGAGGTAAGCAGAGCATTTTCTAGGCTGGAATTAAGCGCGCTCCTAGGCTGGAATGCTCGCACTTCGGCGTGAAGCTGCATTTGTGAAGCATGAAGATTTTATGGAAGGGATATCCATCGTTGCTGCAAAAAAGAAAGGCTCGCTTGAGTACTATGCGTGAATGTGATTGAAACGCTCGTAACCCAGTCTCCAAGACCACTTGGTCCCGGACTTAACTTACTGTGCGCTTCGTAATATGGATCAACCAAATTCGATTACTGGATCACAAAACGACCGGGAGTGCCGCGCTACAAGTTCCGGGGAGCCCCGACCCAGCGCTCCGACCCCTCACCTATTTCAACTTTGGCCCGTGGTAAGTGGGACTAGTAGTA